AGTGTCATCATGTGTTAAATATTTAAATGTTTTGGAACTAGGGAATATATGTATGAGAACATACTGGTATTGAAGATATTTTAAGAATTAAATATTTATACTGTGTAAATAATACACATATGATAATACTGGATATAATCCAGTGCCAGTAACTGAATTCACTCTCCAGTGTAGAAGGTGACTATATTGCTCCTTAATGCTGGTTTCCACCAGTGCTTAATCTATAAACTCTGAGGTGCTGGAGCTCATAAAGAACAGAGACCCACCGTCATTATTTGAGGAGGCGGAGCACACTGACTCTGAATGATGACTGACATACAATGACAATGCACTATTATTAATGTGTCAACACCTGTTTGTTACATCAAACTTAAAAACAGACTTTCCCGATTAGATGAGTTTAATGGCTCAGAAGAAAACTTTATTTTAGTGGCCAAAAAGTAGATTTTTTCTGCATTTATGTGGTGCAGTTTTTAACTTTCACATTAAAAGTCAGATAACTGAAACATACTATAAACAGATTCTTCCATTTCATGGTAAAACCATATTGGTTTAATTTGCAGCAAACTGCAGGAGCTACGCAGAACTTTTATTAAACAGACAGAGAACACAAAGAATCCAAAACTGGAATATCTGGCTGAATATCCCATTTGGGGCTGGTGGAGATCAATTACATGCAGTCCATAAAATGAACCTGATGTTGTTAAAAGAAAAATTAATGGTGTCATTTTACACTTTGTAAAAAAACACGGGATGTTAGACACCCCAGCCTGCAGGATGTGCTGATCAATAGTAATCACAAAAGGGGGCTATAGCCCCGATTGTCTTTTCACCATCTATTACTATAATTATTTAATGCAAATTTTCTATACATACCGTGATAATATCGTCATCATTAATTATTTTGTCCATGATAATTGTGTAGTGAAAATCTCATATTGTGATAGCCCTCTCATGTCACTAGTTAATTCATGTAACTACTTCATGTAATTGTCAGAATTGTTGTAATAACTATGTTTTTTCTTAGAATAAAAAAATGGCTGGGCCTGATTGAGAGACTCCAAGATGCTGAGCTGGAACTGGTAGGTGTCCAAGGTACATCTGCTCCTCTGGTTGGTGTCCTGGGACCTTTTTCTCTACATCAATCCAACCATCTTCCCTCAGATAATTGTGCACAATTTTCTCTGTAGCAAATCTGTGGCCCTTGTGCTCTTCCTTCCAGCAGGGTAATGAGAAGCCTGACTGGCTGGAGGGAGAAGCTGTTTCAGGGTTTAGCAGTCATTAATCGAATGCTCTAGAACCTTCTGTCAGATGGTAGGGGAGTGCATGGGATGGGTGGGAGGGGTCTGCCTCAGTTCTGTTTGCATGGCAGATGACATGTTTCCTGTACAGATGATGGGTGAGAGAGCTGAGTAAACATCAGTGGGCTGAGCTCACAGCCCTGGGGGCTAAGGTCTCTCAGACAGGAAGTGCAGAATCCAGTTACAGAGGGGGGTGTTCATGCCCAGCAGGCTCAGTTTCTCCACCAGCCTCTCTGGGATGGTTGTATTGAATGCTGAACTGAAGCTAATGAACAGCATTCTGACATAGCTGTCCTTTCTGTCCAGGTGTGAGAGGGTGAGGGGGAGGGCAGTGGAAATAGCATCATCTGTGTTCCAGGTTGGGCGATGGGTAGGGGGTCTAGTCAGTCTAGGAGTTATATGCCTCAATACCAGCCTCTTGAAGCACTTCATGATGATGGGTGTGAGTACAACAGGCCAGTAGTGGTTGAGACAGGACACAATGGGCACTGAGATGATCCTGGCTGTTTTGAGGCATGCAGGTACCACCTTTGTGCTGAGGGATACATTGAAGGTGTCTGTGAGGACATCTGCCAGCTGGTCAGCACAGTCCCTGAGCACCTGGTCAGGTATATGGTCCTGCCGCCTTCTGTGGCTTGACTCTGCATAGAATATTTCTTTCATCAGCAGTGCGTAGGCGAAATACATGGCTCTTCAGAGAGGGGGTGGTGTTCCTTGCAGGTTCCTTGTCAGTGTTAGTTTTGTTAATGAAAAGTATGACACAAAATGTTCATCATCATCTAACATAATGACTAAGATGAGACATTGACGAGCTAAAGACAGATCTTTTATAATAAAAAGAGGCACGCAAGTGGTAGCTATTGGAGCTGATGCAGAGTAGGGTACTGAGATATTCTGGGAGTTTACCCAGCAAAGCATTGTAAACAAACATGTACCAATGCCGTTTTCTACGGATGGTTAATGACGTCCAGCCAGCTAAGTCTGTGGGCCCCTGAGCAAGGTCCTTGACCCCCAGCTCCTGGGTGTGGCACACTGGCTGACCCTGTGCTGTGACTCCCAAGCTTGCTTTTACCTGCATATGTGTCTGTGTGTCTCATGGAGAGCAAGATGGAGTAGGCAAATAGCATAATTCCAATATACTTAAGCAAATGGCAAATAAAGGAGTGTCAGAGGTGTGCAAGCCCAGGACGAAAATCCATGGCATTGACAACATGGATGCTATTTTGGTGACTGTAAAGAACACAGCGACCCCTGCTAATTCAATTCAATTTTCAATTCAATTTTATTTATATAGCGCATTATCACAACATTACATTGTCTCAATGCGCTTTACATTTCTGCCTCGTAAGGACCCCCCAGTGAGTAAGCCAAAGGCAACGGTGGCAAGGAAAAACTCCCTAAGAGGAAGAAACCTTGGGAGGAACCAGACCAAAAGGGGGAGCCCATCCTCCAGGGGCCGGCAGATGAGTCAAACAAACAAGATGATATGACGAAGCTAATACAGACAAG